AGGCCTTTAAATTGTGGGCAGAGCCTTGACAGGAAGTCTTGGGTCTGAGTATGCTGGATCTCTATCAGCAGTATTCCAAACAACTTTGGAGGATGATCTGGTGGCTTCTGTGTCTCTTCCATGTTACCTCTAGTCACACCTGCCATCAGAGGTACCTTTGTTCAAATTTGCTTGTATTGTCTCCTTCCCATTCAGTAATGGAACCTATCAGACTTGTTGCAGACTCCAGGCAAGACCATGATGCTTGGCCTCAAGAGAGAAATTGAGCCAGTCAGTTAGATTTGTTCCTCAGGGACAATATAGCCAGGACAGGAAGACAGAAAGCTGGTAAAAGGTTGTGAGAACTTTGAGGATTTAATAGTGGCCACATATCACATGATACAAGGCAGGCAATACACAGAAAAATGGAACTGTTGTCATGACAAGTCAGATCACCAAATTTTGGAACTGGAATATTTTCAGGAGACATGTTCAGACTCCAGTATCCTCTTTAGAAATAGGCAGGGTGATGAAAAATTAGAGAATGAGAAGTTTCTAGGAAGTGCAAGTGGTTATCCCATATCCCTGGTGCTGCTCAAGAACTTGCACCAGACTCAGAAGCCTCTAGCCCCTCTGATTTCAGCAGTGGAAACATGAATTTCTAACCATATCTGTGGGCTGCTGCTCTAAGAGATTCTGTGATAACAAAAGAAGAAGATGAAAGCGCCTTTCCACAAAGCTTTCCTCAGCTTCTCCTTTCATTTCTCAAGAGAGGAAGTAAACATAAACCTGAGTAAGTCATCTGAGCCTTTGCTGAAGTTGTGACACAAATCATCTATGATTTGAGGGTCTTTCCTTGCCATGACTTGATTTCCCCATCTGCAAAATGGATTAAGTAACTAGGCTCTATCTCTAGAGTTTTATGAAGATTAAAAGCTGGGGTGGGTTCACTTTACCATGTTCCCTGGCCCTGAGTGTGTAAGAAACACATTTCTTTAACTCCTAAATCAAATAGCTGTGTGTGATGGCACAATCATTCAGGGGCAGAGGGAACCCATCTCTGAAAGTTCAAGGCCAGCCCATAGAGAGTTCCAGGCCTGTGAGGACTACATAGTGAGGCTCTGTCTAAAAGGCAAAACAACTAAAGGGTGCCTGTTATTACTCGGCAAGTCCTGTATTATATTCACTGCTGAGGCATGCCTTCCCATCAAGGGTTCATGCTTTTGTTGGCTCCCTCTTTCCTCCTACCACTCAGAGGAAGAGGAGATTATTTCTTGGTAGCTAAGAAAGCAGAAGCAAGAAGGTGATATTTGATTAGCAGTGTCTTCAGAGAGTATACCTGGCAGCAGGACTTGGCAGGAAATTGAAATTCCTTGGTTCTAAGGCATACATACTTTCTTAGTGTCCTGCCTCCCAGCTTTGCCTTGTACTCCTTCCCATTCAAGGTTAAGGCCTATCCCATTGATCCTTTAGGACCTTTCCTAGAGCCATGAACAAGCAGAGTTCAGCTGGCACCTCAGCCCTATATCTTATCCCTTTATTATTCTATGGTGGGACCTATCCTGCCCATCTCTAAGGCATCCTCCTGTCTGAGGCCACTCTCTTTCATGTTCTCTCTCTGGCTCTGACCACCACTGTGACTCTCTACTCCCCACCCCTTGGACTGTGTCCCTGGGTCCCTGAGGATAAAGATAGCAGAGAGGGGTGGGTAGGAATTTGGAAGGCCCATGACCTCTGGGAACCACTTCAGTGAGATAGCTCAATTTAATTCAAGGTGAACAAAGGTTATGTGGTTCTTGGGGAGTGAAAAGGGTTCCCAGGGTAGGTGCACACCATCTTGGCTGGGTCTAGTTGTGTCAAGAATACTTTATTTGCATTTGTCAGTATCATATGAAGGGGAACACAGTATCTAATTATCCTATGGGAAGCAGTGGGAGAGTTTTGCAGGAACTGTGTCAAAGGTCATATCCAGTAGTTAGAGGCATCTGTGCCTAGAGACACTCTCCAGATGAGGTCAAGCAGAGAGTAGGGGGCTCGTCAGACAAAGGGAGTCCTCCATTAGCTCAGAAAGGGCTTTCTGGTGGACTGCAACCCTAGCAGCAGGTTCCTCCAACACACCACTTTGTGGTGTTTCATTGAGTTTTAATGCTTTGAATGAGCTGTTACTGCCAGAGTGACAGAGATGGGGTTGCCTTTACAGGCTCTAAAGCTACAGTTTAGCAGCCAGTAAAGACATAGGGGTTAAAGGCTGAGTCAGTGCTTGTGGTTTTCACACTGTTTGGTGAGCTTGTATCACTGAGCCCAGAATTTTCATCTGTGAGTGGCACTGAAGGTACAGCTAATGCCAAGGGCTGCAGCAGAGGAGAGGTTGTTACCTGTTCCTACAAGCAATCATTTATTTTCCTGCTCAGTTGACATGAGGAAAGTTTGCAGTTATTGTGTTGACTGCATCATTGTTTTCCTTTACCCTTTTAAGGAGGCTGTAGGCCAGACAGGGAATCAGAGAAAAGGGCTGTTGGAGATATACTGAGAGTCCAGGTGGGGCTTTGGTAGATAGAGGGGTAGGAAAGGCCATTTCTGGTAGAGACTTAAGTCTGCAAGAAACATGATGTATACAGATACATGGGACAAAGCACACATTCACATCCGATCAGCAGGCACTGAGTATTTACCATGGGATAAGAGAGAATGGTCTCTGCTACTGTGTGCCTGCTGTCAGTGTTGTCAGCACACCAGTACATAAAACAATTTCTATACATTGTGAGTATAGCCCTGACCATTAGTGGTCATTTCACATGCAGTGCTCAAATGAGTCAGTGGAAATGTGATGAGAGAGAATGGATGAGTGATCTTAAGCTGATGGGTATGCTTGAGAGACAGACTGAGTAACCAAACTCAGTCTGTCCAAACTCCCCAAACTCTGCCAAGCCATGTGGATAAACTGGAAAACAGATGTCCTAGCTGACCTGGTCAGAGAAGAACTCCAGGATGGTGGTACAAGCTGAGACTGGAAGCAGGGGTGAGAAACATTAAAAAAAGCAGGAGGGAGGTATTCCTGGCAGAATAGTGCAAAGCCCTGAGAGCAGTGGTCCAGAGAGATATAAGGCTAGGGAGAAGATGACCAGGGTTGGATGTGGCCAAGGAAAATGAAAGCCTGTGGGTTCCCAGGTGGTTAAGCCTGGGAAATAACCTGCTGGGTCCTGTCTGGGTCCTACTAAGCAGGGACGTAGGATACAGGATTCTAGATCCCTTATAGGCCTGATAACCTACTAAAGTGGGGCAGCAGGCCTGGGGCAGATGTGGCCAGGATGATGGAAGAGTTTCTACAGTAACAAGACTAGGCCTACCTTGACTGTATCTCAAGATACAGAGAAGCCTCACAGTGGTGGTACACCTCCTTCCTCCCAGCACTTGGGAGGCAGAGGCAGGAGGATCTCTGTGACCAGCCGAGTCTACAGAGTAAGTTCCAGGATAGCCAGGGATACACAGAGAAACTCTTGAAAAACCAAGCCAAACCAAACCAAACAGGAAAAAAAAAATCAAGTTCTATTGACATATTAAAGAATATTAACACTTTCAGTCATTAAATATGAAATTTATAGCAACCCAACAGCTTACTTGTACTATTTCTTTGGCAGTGGTGACCTTTTTGAGGCAGGTTTGTTTGTTAAGACATTAGGCATTGTTGCAGTCTGCCTGAGTTATAAAAGGCTAAGTTTCTTGTGGGTCCTGTAGCAGAGCTGAAGATTGGATGTAGGTGTGGAGGTCGTTTTTCTGAGGGAGAACACCCTGATAAAGTACATGCTATCAGTTTCCTATGGTTGCTATAAAAAGTACCATAAACTAAGTGGATTGAAGCAGCTATTTTATAAAACTAAGTGCATATTTATTATCTTACAGTTCTGTAGGCTGTGAGTCTGATCCTTGTCTCACTGAATTAAAAACAAGGTCTGAGCAAGGCTGGCTTCTTCTGGGGCCTCTAGAAAAAAATCTATTCTCTCTGGACTCCAGCTTCTCCAGCTTCTACATTCCTTGGCTTAAGGTCCCTTTCATCTTCATAGGTCACAGTGGCCAGATCAGTCTTTTCTCGTATTTCTTTACTCAGATCTGATGTTTCTGCCTCCCTTGGTTCCATTGGACCTTTTGTTTGTTTGTTTGTTTGTTTTGAGACAGGGTCTCTCTGTGTAGCCCTGACTGTCCTGGACTCACTTTGTAGACAAGGCTGGCCTTGAACTCACAAAGATCCACCTGCCAGTGCCTCCCTAAATGCTGGGATTACAGGTGTGCTTCACTGTGCCCGGCCCATTGGACCTTTTATTGGTTGTTTTTGTGTTGTTGAGACCAAATTCCTGCCAGAAACAACATAAGGAAGGGAAGATTTGTTTTGGTTCGGTGTTTCATAGGGTTCAGACCCTTTGAATACGTCTAGGAGGACATGGTGGAACAGAGTGCTCTGCATCACAATGAACCAGGAAGCAGAGAAAAGAGAAAACTGATACTTAACTGCCTTTATTTTTTTATTTTTTGGCTTTATTCTTTTTTATTTTTCTTTACCTTCAGCTCATGGAACAGTACCACACTTAGTGTAAGACTTTCAACTTCAGGTAATAACCTCAGAAACATTTGAAAGTGCACCTAGTCTTCTAGGTGTTTTTAAGTATAGTGAAATTGACAATGATTAGCCCTTATAGACCCATCTGGGTGATTCAAGAAAATGTCTTTATTGTTGCTTTACTTCTGTTTTTAACCTTACGCCCTCTGTGTAATTTAACATATTCACAGATTCCCAGGATTAGGGCATCTTTGGAGACCATTATCCTGTCTTCCACAATTTGTCAGCCTTGTTTTGGAAGCTGAATCCTTATTTCTGGGTCTCTGTGTATGTGTTTGCCTGTGTTGGACTCAGAGCATATACTGGATTGATCTAATGCCCAAAAGCTAGTAGAGAGGCTCATGGGGGTACGGTGCAAGCTCTGGATCATTTGGGCAGCAACATCAGTGGTATCTTTCCATCTCTGCAGGGGGTGGAGGAAAGCGCAAAGGGAAAAGCAAGAAGTGGAAGGAAATCCTGAAGTTTCCTCACATCAACCAGTGTGAAGACCTCCGAAGGACCATAGGTAAGGAGCACATTAGCTGCCAAGGCTTCTGTACAACCAGGCCAGTACAACACAACTCAGCAAATACAGGAATTCTGGCTCCATATTACATTTTTGCTAATAGGCCTAAAGATATAATCAGCATTTGTTTGCTATTTGGTATGTGCCCTGATGAACTTTTACTTCCCAGGTATCCTTTGAGATAGTTGCTATTATTTAACTCTATAATACAGCATAATGTCTCTTTAACTGTCCTATAGTATCCAAGATCAAAGGAGAGCAGAGATTATCCAAGACTAGCTGGAGTCCCTAGAGAACAGATTCCCCTCTGGAGCCCCCAGAAGAAGCCAGTCTTACATCTTGTTTTTAATTCAGTGAGACATTCATCAGACTCCAGGGCTACAGAACTATAAGATAATAAATATGCAAGGTTTTGATCCACTTAGCTCTACAAAATAGTAGTATGTGCTGTTTCAATCCACTTACTTTATGGTAATTTTTATAACAGCTGTAGGAAAATGATACTTTGGACAGGATACTGGAATCCCCAGGCACAACTCCCTGTTTTTCCTGGATCCCATGCATCCTGCTCTTGTGAAGCAACTCAGTTTTAGGCTCACTGTCCTTCTCACTTAGGAGGTTGGTATTCATGGTGGAGCCACTAGCCCATTGACTTGGCCTAGTTGTTTTTATCTAGCCCCCATATGGCCACCTCTAACAACAGCCAAGGCCTTGCTCCTGTGGAGACATAGCAAACATACCAAATGGGTCTGTTGAACTCAGCATATTCCTACCATCCAGATGAAAGAACTCTGCATATTTTGCTGTATTGGGTTTATGTACTTCTTAAGAGTATAAAAACATACAGGGACTTCTGGTTCCAAACAAGAGGGAGTAGATCCAGTGTTCTCTGTCTCTTCTACCAAGAGCAGTTGGAAACTCCAGGAAGCATAAAAGATTCTGGAAGGTAGAGAGAAGGCAGATGAGTAAAGACATTAAGATGTGAGGAATGAAAGCTTTTTCTTTTTTCTTTTATTTGCCTCTGGTAGGGTGTTGGGGGAAAAAAAAAGCTTGATATGCTACTGCAAATGGATAAAAAAAAAAAAAAAGGCCCTTACTTATTTCTTCACACACAGAAAGAAATAAGGAAAGAAAGAAAGAAAGAAAGAAAGAAAGAAAGAAAGAAAGAAAGAAAGAAAGAAAGAAAAGAAAGTACTAATCTATTCTTTCTAAAAAGGAGCAGATAGGGCTGGAGAGATGATTCAGTAGTTAAGAGCACTGGCTGCTCTTCCAGAGGATCCAGGTTCAATTCCCAGAAACCATATGGTAGGTCACAACTCTAGTTCTAGAAAACCCAAACCCTCTGCTGGCTGCCTTGGATACCAGGCATATACATGGTATACATAAACAAATACAGACAAAATATCCATCACATAAAATAAATAAAATAATTTAAGAGTAAATATTTAGAAAGGAGCAGACAGTGCAGCTGGGAAGCTGTGGGCCCAGTGCAGACATGCTTCTTTGACTCACATTTGCAACGACAAACCCACTTCTAGACTTTATTCCCATATAGCCTCTATCTCAGTCAGTGTAGACCACTATTGCAAATGACGTGGATTGTGCAGCTTGAACAATAGATGTTTACTTTTGCTTGGTTCTAAATGTCCAAATGAAGGACATTTCTGTTTTGTAGATGGTTTCCTTGTGTCCTTTAGAGTAGAAGGAAACACAATTTCTCATTCCTCTTCCTGTGAGGGCTTTAATCCCATTAATAGGGCTCTTCTCCTAATCCACTATGTTGGGTATTGGGGTTCAGCATATGTGCTTTGATTAGGATGCAGTCAGTTGGAGGTGGTAAAAACAACTAGGCCAAATCAATGGCCTAGTGGCTCCACTGTGAATAGAAGCTCCCAAATGAGAGGGATGGTGAGCCTAAAACAGAGAACCTGGTCCTGGGTTCAAAGGTCAGCATCCCCTTTACTTCTGTTCTCTGAGAGATATACAACTTCTCCTTTGAAAGGAACTCTTCTTACTCAGAATCCAGCTGTACACAGATTTCATCCAAGTTTAGGGGCTCAGTTGCCTTCATGGCATCCTTCTTTCATTGGGTTATTCTGCTTATTCTTCACCTTGTGCCTTCTCTATTCTATTCACTTCTGGTTTGGAGATCTGGGAACACAAGATTATGCTCTTAGAGTCTCTTGGATCATGGGCCCTCACCTGCCCAGTTTAAGTCCTTTCCCAGGTCTCTTGATGGAGCCTATACTTGTGGGTATGAGAACCAGGCCTGCTGTGTGAGAATGATTCTTTGGTTCTTTGAGAGAATATTAAAAAGCCTCTGTGTGCTTCAGGGAAAAGGCTGGAAAAAGATGCATCAGGGAAAAGGCTGGAAAAAACAGGTAGGCCGATGTGAGCAGAGGGGCTGTCGAACATGGGCCTGGGCCAGGAGTTGGGCCTTCTGCCTGTTTATAGTCTGTCTCTGTGGTGTTTGCCCAGCCGCTGCTGGGGTCCTGCTGGAAGACTTTCTTACATAAAAATCTCATTTCTTTTCTAGACCAATACACAAACCAAACAGTGGCAAACACCAAATTTGTTTTTCTTGTGGACATATGAGCTCATTTTCTAAAGCTCCCTGGGAAGATGTCCCAGGACAGGCTCTGAAAAGGGCCCACTGCACAGTGATGGGGTGGTGCATTGGAAGGCCATGCATCAGAGAGAGGAGCCAAGCTGACAAAGACTTAAGATGCTGCCTCTTTAGAATCATCTAGAGAAGTGGTTGCTGAAAGTCACAGCTTTCTCCTGCCTTCAGCGTTGCCTTGGGCAGCCACAAGTGCACTTTACCCAGCCTCCCGGATGACTTTAGAAAATGACAATTATTCCTCTGTTGCATCCCCAACCCCCATTCACTTTTCTACTCTGCTTGGAATGAATCTCTAACTCTGACTTGTGAGTCATAGATCATGGATGACAAAAAGCTTTGGCTGGTGTGAAGCCTGAGTTCCCCTTTTCAGAATAATACTGTTTCATATGCAAAATGAAATATACAGTTACAAAGGGAACCAATTATTTTCAAATATAGTTATTAAATACTTTTAAAATGCTGAGTAGTATTTTATTGTGTAACTGTACCACAATTTCTGTATCCATTCCTCAGTTGAGGGATATCTGGGTTGTTTCTAGATTTTGGCTACAGGATAAAGCTGCTACAAACATGGTTGAGTAAATGTTCTTGTTGTATAGTTGAGCATATTTCAGATATATGCCTAGGAGTGGTGTAGCTGGATCTTGAAGTAGCACTATTCCTAATTTTCTGAGAAAGCACCAGAATGATTTCCAAAGAAGGGGGAGATAGAAAGACATGGAGGGGACAGGAGCTCCACAAGGAGACCAACAGAGCCAGAAAAATCTGGGCTCAGGGGTCCCTGCAGAGATTGATACTCCAACCAAGGACTATGCATGGAGAGGACCTAGATCCCCTGCTCAGATGTAGTCCATAGGCAGCTGAGTCTCCAAGTGGGGAACAGGGGCTGTCTCTGATATGAACTCAGTGGCCAGCTCTTTGATCACCTTCCTCTGGTGGGGGGGGGGGTGCAGCCTTGCCAGGCCAGAGAGGAAGACAATGCAGCTAGTCCTGATGAGACCTGATAGGCTAGGGGCACATAGAAGGGGAGGAAGACCTCCCCTATCAGTGAACTAGGAGAGGAGCATGAGGGGAAAAGAAGGAAGGAGGGTAGGACTCAGAGGAGATGAGGGAGGGGGCTACAGCAGGATACAAAGTGAATAAATTGTAATAAATAATAAAATAAAAATACTTGTAAAATGTAAAATATAGAAATGTATATGCTTTTTTATTAATACTTGAAATAACAAGGTCTAACAGCTGGTTAATACCTACTGTGAATTTATATCTGTTAAGAGCTTAAGTGGTATTTTGGATATTTGCAGCAATTATGATATGAGTAGATTTGCAGTTTCAGTTGGTAACAAATCCCACACACTCCTCATATCACTGTGGGCATTGTATATCTTTGTGGTCAAAGGAAGTGTGAATTTTTAGATAGACCTTGGTGAAGGCTAGGTGATATCTTCTTCCACAGACCCTTGATAGCACTGTCTCTGCCTTGCTTTCTGTAGCTCTTAGTGTCCTTGGGTCCCTCCTCCATTTACAGATGCTCTGGACACTTTATTGTCCTGTGAATTCCTCAAGCTTGTTTCCAGCTATGGGGCCTTTGCTCTTGCTATTTCCTCTACCTAAAATGCTCTTTCCCACACTTTGTTTTGCCAGAGGGCTTTAAAGTCCCAGACTAAATATTACTTCCAATGGGGGAGCCATCTAAGAAGAGCCTACTATAATTGTGTTCTTTCATGTAGAGTGGTTTATTGAATGGTCTCTGCTCATAACCCAATTTGAAGTCATCTTCATTTGTTCATTTACTTGTATATTTTCTGTTGTCTCTACTGGACCAACTCTTCTGGGTTAGAAGTGGCTGTGTTTTACCTTGTACTAAGTACTGCTTGCCACATACTAGGACTTATTAAATATTGGTTGAATATAGATTGACACAAAATATTTTAAGTTAGGGCTCTTTTTAAAAAGCTTATGACATATATTTGCTGTGACTAAATTTAACCTTAGCTAACGTTTTTGACTTAAAGTAATGAAAGTTTAGATTTAGGGGTTTAAGTGTGAATGTATCTAACTTACCCACTCTTATCCTCAAAGATAAGGAATATCAGCATGTTGATAAGACCCAAGCCATGCTCTTTTTTTTGCATTGTTTAGGAAGGCAAGCCTGGGCCCCTGGATCAGCACATGACCCTGTAAAGCTACAACTTGAGTTCTTAGCACAATGATGTTAGCTTTGTAGAGAGCTCCTAACTCAAGGAATTGAGAGCATATTGTCTAAAACCCCCTTTCCAGTTCATAAATTAGTGGTCAGGCTTTCAGAAATGAGTGATCCACCTAGGACAATATAATCCCTGACTTTGAACTGTAACTTTTCAGTACCTAGCACTAT